TAAGGGCTAAAGTTGATACTAAACCTGATCATAGCCCAAAGGCCAAGAAGCAATGACGCAGTGACACAAAGAGGGCAGTAGGGTAGATTGCAGTCTCGTTCCTTGTGGGAGACTAAGCCACTAACCCAATAGCAGCAAGTAGGTGAAGCCAAATTTAATTGATGAACTTACAAGGCTGAGCAGAGGGTAGCCCACACAAGGTCAGAAAGGCTTGGTTAGATCAAAGTAGTTCTCAATGAAGCCGCTGGACAGCGGGGACACCCCTAAGGGCAAAAAGTTGATACTAAACCTGATCATGGCCTAAAGGCCGAGAAGCAATGATGCAGTGACACAAAAAGAGGGCAGTAGGGTAGCAGCTGGACAGATGGGACACCCCTTAAGGCTATGGTAGACAGAAGGCAAAATGAGTATAGAACCTGACAATTTAGGGTCTGGTTATAGCGGCTGAGTATCACTTAGCTATGATCTTTTGCCTTGCAGTGCTTTAATGAGTAACTCCACTTTTGTTGAAAAAAAAACCCACTCTTTTTTTGGTTGATTGATGTATAATGCTACAATTTTCTTACCTTTTGTTTTTTTTTGCAGAAAAAGCAGTTTGTTCATCTGTGTCTTTTTGTACAGTCCATGGGAGTGATTTTGCCATTATCAGCTTCCTCTCTTGTAGGCTTCCGATGAAGAAAGTGGCAGGGTCTCATTATTACTTTTTAGACCTGACGATTTATTACAGAGGATACCCAAAATCTGATTAAGGTATTTTAGTGCAGACTTTTGAGATAATTAGCAGGCCATTCACAAAAGCAGAAAGGAAAACTTCCATGGTGGCCCTAAATATTGAAAAGAGAATTAATACCATTCAATTACAATATGAATTGCTTAGCAATTGTAAATGTTATATTTTTTTTCCCTCGAAAGTGGAGTTACTCTTTAAATGCGTGCCAAAGCTAATTCAGCCATGTATGCTCATGCTAGCGTGCATGCACATGTAGAGGCCCGCAGAACCCTGATCCTGTGCACAGTTCTGCGGCCCGTTCTGCATGCATGTGCAGTTCTTTTAGCATGGCCATGCGCTCGGTTTTCCTGACACCTAAAGAGGAATAATAACAAAAAAATTAGGCTGAGTTAATAGGCAGGGGCATCCCTAGGGTTGGTGTCACCAGGTGCGATAACACTTGGTGACACCCCCTCCAACAATTCCCGCAGAATGGATCGTATCTGTGGATTGAGCATAATGGATCAGACTCCGATCCATTATGCTCAATCCGCAGATCTGATCCATCCTGCGGGGATCGTCGGCTTTCTTTACAACTCACCTTTTTCGTGGAGCGGGTCTGGTGTCACCCCGTATAGGTTGCATGCCGACGATCCCCGCAGGATGGTTCGGATCTGCGGACTGAGCATTATGGATCGGAGTCCGATCCATTATGCTCCCCAATCTGCAGATCCAATCCATCCTGCGGGGATCGTCGACATGCAACCTATACGGGGTGACACTGGACCCGCTCCACGAAAAGGTAAGTTGTAATAGGAGAAGATACTGAAAATAGAAATGCATCAAATGGCCACTTTTGCTGCCCCGTGGGGGGTAAATAGCTGCCTTGCAAATATAAGTGCCCATTCCCTATCTTTCCCCCCCCCCCAAATCCATACCAGACCCTTATCCGAGCATGCAGCCCAGCAGGTCAGGAAAGGGGGGGACGAGCGAGCGCCCCCTCCTGAACCATACCAGGCCACATGCCCTCAACATGGGAGGGTGCTTTGGGGACAAGGGCCTCTTCCTTGTTAAAGGGGCTTCCAGATTCCGATAAGCCCCCTTCCCGCAGATCCCCACAACCACCAGCCAGGATTGTGGGGAAGAGGCCCTTGTCCCCATCAACATGGGGGCAAGGTGCTCTGGAGGGAAGCCTCCCTGCCCCAAAGCACCCCCCCATGTTGAAGGCATGTGGCCTGGTATGGTTTGGGGGGGTCCTGCGCTCGCCTGTCCCCCCCCCCCTTTCCTGACCTGCTGGGCTGCTTGCTCGGATAAGGGTCTGGTATGGATCTTGGGGGGGGATCCCCACGCCATTTGTTTTTTTAATTTTGGCGTGGGGGGTCCCCTCAAAACCCATACCAGACCCGAAGGGCTTGGTATGAATGGAGGGGGGACCCCACGACGCTGTTTTATTTTATTATGGTGCCTGTTTTTAAATGTAATTACCGCTTTTTTTTTTTTTTCTTCACTATAGCTCAGAGATTCAGCTGTCATTTCCCCCCAGTTAAAAGAAAGAAAGTTTCCTTTTAGTTTATTTCCCCGAGTTAAAAGAAACAATGTTTCCTTTTAGTTTCTTAAAAGAAATAAAGTTTCCTTTAACTCCGGGGAAAGTGACAGCTAATTCTGTGAGCTATAGTGAAGAAAAAAAAAAAGCCGGCAATTGCATTTAAAAATCGGCAACGGTAGATGTATTGTAACACTGAGAGACAGAATAGCAACAAAAAATTCAAAAGAAATGCATGTCTAACAAATGATGCACTGATATGATGGGGACAAGGGCCTCTTCCCCACAACCCTGGCTGGTGGTTGTGGGGATCTGCGGGAAGGGGGCTTATCGGAATCTGGAAGCCCCTTTAACAAGGAAGAGGCCCTTGTCCCCATCAACATGGGGATAAGGTGCTTTGGTAGTGGGGGGAGCCCCCTGCCCCAAAGCACCCCCCATGTTGAGGGCATGTGGCCTGGTATGGTTCAGGGGGGGGGCCGCTCACTCCTCCCCCCCTTTCCTGACCTGCCGGGCTGCATGCTCGGATAAGTGTCTGCTATGGATTTTTTGGGGGGGACCGCCTACGCCATTTTTGTTTAAATATTGGTGTGGGAGTTCCCCTCAAAATCCATACCAGACCCGAAGAGCTTGGTATGGATGGGCGGGGGGAACCCACACCGGTTTTTTTTTTAATTGCCGGCAATTCCTTCTTTTACTTTCAGCTGTCAGTGGCGAACCCGTTAACAGCTGAAACATTAACACACGTGGTCAATACTAAAATACTGCATGACTTGATAAAATAACTCATGCGGTATTCTAGTAGCGTTTACTTTTTTCTGACCTCCGGAACGGATTAATTGGTTTTCAATGCATTCCTATGGGAAACGGCGCTACTGAATCACTTTGAGGGTTCTCTTTTTGGTCATAGTAGTTCCTCTTATTCAGCCGAGTGACCAGTGTTCCTACTATGATCCTGTGACATCCATATGTAAGGTAACGTGCAATGTCATCGCAAAACTAATGAGGTGTTGGGGGCGGATGTTTAGTCTGTAGCTGTCTCTCATCCTGTTGACAGCGTTTTCCTTCAGCTCCTGGAATTTCTGTCCGCCGCTGCGCCTGGTCACTGGATTTAAGAGGAGAGAAAAGTGAGCGTTCTCTGGGTAGCAGCTGTAGCACTAAAGGTAACTAATAAAAAACCTCAGTAGCCATACAAATAAAACATGCAGCGCTAAAAACAATGTATCATGGTCCATATACAATATCAGCTAAAAAACAGTATACGTCCATATGTGACAATCTGTGTATGTATAGGTGAGATAGCAGCAAAAACTCCAGTGTTGGTGCTCCAGAATAGTGGGGTAAGAATACGCACTCACCAGATGCGTAATGTAAATATGCATTAAATCAATCAGTGGAAGTCAAGGATAATCTTCCCTCCGGATGATGGTGGTGCCTCAGAAGTTCCCAGGTGGTAAAAGATCCAATGAGCCAGAGGTCTCCTTTAAGGGATGGGTGGGTGTAGAAGCCTGTGAGACAGGATCTCCCTCCTCTGGATACTGCAGTGGACCGGGTGGGCTCTATAAATTAATTGCTCCACATGGGGAGACATAAAACATGCCCATAGTGTAGTAGGTAATGTATAAAGGGTTTATTAAATTCCAGGATTTGCAAATCAAACACAAGTTAAAAGAGCATTAAAATGGACTGACCGTCCATAAGTAAGATGGCCGCTGCACCAACATGTGGCTCCGGCGGCATGACGTCATGGTGTATTGGCTCCTCCTTATGCGTTTCATGCGCACGCACGTCTTCAGAGGGGATGCCAATGTATGTAATGATCGCATACCCGATCTGTAAAGGGGACCTCCACTGATCGATTTAATGCGTATTTACATTACGCATCTGGTGAGTGCGTATTCTTACCCCACTATTCTGGATCACCAACACTGAAGTTTTTGCTGCTATCTCACCTATACAGATTGTCACATATGGACGTATACCGTTTTAGCTGATATTGTATGTGGCCTATGATACACTGGTCACTGGGATTTACTGATTGAAGCAGGTTCACTCACAATCTCCTGCACATCTGCATGAAAACCAGTCAGCTTCCAGGATTCATTGCTAAGTCCTCATGCACACGGGACGTTTTTCCAGCAGCTGTTTTTGGCTTTTGATGCTTTTTTCTCCAGCTAGTAAACCCCCCAGAATGTGGGGGGCATGGCTATTCGGTGAGCGCACATCCTATTGCACGTGGTGATTTCTTTTTAGGAATTACAAGATTTGTTTGGTGGAAGAGACATTTCATGGACTTTAGATTGTTCATTTATGCTGAGCGATCACTTATTTATTAATTTATTTATTCATTCATTCACATATTTATAGATTTTTTTGCACTACTGAATCACTTTGAGGGTTCTTTTTTTGGTCAAATTGATTCTATTAGAAGTGGAATCATTGTTTATTTCTATTTAATTTATTATTTAATTTTTATTTAGTATTGTGCATCTAGCGCAATTTTTTTTTTTTTATAGTAGGTGCCCATCCTCACTTTTATTTCTTCTTCTTTATTATTTATTCTTTTTATTCCTAATTATTCTCATTTTATGTTATATTTATCATTTATTGTTTATTCCAATTTATTATTTTTCCTACTGATTTAGCTTCTTCGGGCTACAACAAAATGGCGGACCGGAAGGATCGTACCCAATAACACCCGGCAGGGTTTGACGTCCTCTCATCGCGCCGTTCTGTCGCACAGGAGTCACCATGGCGATGCTGGCTGAACGTGAGTGTGGTCTCTGAGTACTTGGAGGATGCATGGTCCCCTTGGTATGGTAGTTGTGATGACAGAGGTGATGTGCTGTCTCTGTGCACCGCACTTCCCTGTCCCCTGGAAACATAGAAGCCGTCTTGGTGTTCTTCTTACAGTCCTCCCTGGACAGTACCCAGAGCGGGGAGGGGGGACGACTGTCCGGGAGGAGATTGGATGTGTGCTGCATGGGGGGGTCTCATGGGATTTGTGCTTGAGGGCCCCCTGCTGGATTATAATGTTACTGCAGGTGCTGACCAGAGGTCAGAGGTGAGGGCTGTAGAGGTGAGGAGGAAGATGGCTGCAGAGCTGAGTTGTTCAGAAAGATAATTTTTTTTTTGGGGGGGGGGGTCAGAGGGGCACTCTCTGTATAACACACTCCTGACCCTGAATTCTGTACACCTTTCAGTCCCGCGTGCTTGCTCCTCTAAGGCCCTCCCCCACTGTTAGTGCAATTGGTCTATACCCTCCCTATGATGAGTCCTGGGGGGGGAAACCCTGGGTGGTGTGTGTGTGTGTATGTATGTATGTATGTGTATATATATATATATATATTATATATATACACACACACACACTCTATTGCCAAAAGTGTTGGGACATCCCTCCAAATCATGTGATTCAGGTGTTCCAATCCCCTCCATGGCCACAGGTGTATACAATCAAGCCCCTAGGCATGCAGACTGCTTCTACAAACATTTGTGAAAGAATGGGTCGCTCTCAGGAGCTCGCTGACTCAAGCGTGGTCCCGTGATAGGTTGTCACCTGTGCAATAAGTCCATCCGTGACATTTCCTGGCTACTAAATATTCCACGGTCAACTGTTAGTGGGATTATAACAAAGTGGAAGCAACTGGGAACAACAGCAACTCAGCCACCAAGTGGTAGGCCACGTCACATGACAGAGCGGGGTCAGTGCATGCTGAAGCACACAGTGCACAGAAGCTGCCAAACTGTCTGCAGAGTCAATAGCTAAAGACCTCCAAACTTCATGTGGCCTTCAGATTAGCACAACAGTGTGTAGAGAGCTTCATGGAATGGGTTTCCATGGCCAAGCAGCTGCATCCAAGCCTTACATCACCAAGTGCAATGCAAAGCGTCAGATGCAGTGGTGTAAAGCTCGCTGCAACTGGACTCTAGAGCAGTGGAGACGTGTTCTCTGGAGTGACCAATCACGCTTCCCTGTCTGGCAATCCGATGGACATGTCTGGGTTTTCTTGTTGCCAGGAGAACGATTCTTGCCTGACTGCATTGTGGCAAGTGTAAAGTTTGGTGGAGGGGGGATTATGGTGTGGGGTTGTTTTTCAGGGGTTGGGGTTGGCCCCCTAGTTCCAGTGAAGGGAACTCTTAAGGACTCAGCATACAAGACATGTGGACAATTTCATGCTCCCAACTTTGTGGGAAGAGTTTGGGGATGGCCCCTTCCTGTTCCAACATGACTGCACACCAGTGCACAAAGCAAGGTCCATAAAGACATGGAGGAGCCAGTTTGGGGTGGAGGAACTTGACTGGCCTGCACAGAGTCCTGACCTCAACCCCATAGAACACCTTTGGGATGAATTAGAGTGGAGACTGCGAGCCAGGCCTTCTTCTCCCCTGACATCAGTGCCTGACCTCACAAATGTGCTTCTGGAAGAATGGTCCCCTTAGACACCCTCCTAAACCTTGTGGACGGCCTTCCCAGAAGAGTTGAAACTGTTATAGCTGCAAAGGGCGGGGCCAACTCAATATTGAACCCTACAGACTAAGACTGCGATGCCATTAAAGTTCATGTGCGTGTAAAGGCAGGCCAACCAGTACTTTTGTCAATCTACACATACACGCAACACACCCACATATAGTGTTCGGTCATTGTCTAATGGTTTGAGTTCTCTCTGCAGCTCGTAGGAAGCAGAAGTGGTCGGTGGACCCCAGGAACAGCACCTGGAGCAAAGACGATTCCAAGTTCGGGCAGAAGATGCTGGAGAAGATGGGCTGGTCCAAGGGCAAGGTGAGCGCAATATGTCAGCGCAGGCAGGACATCATCAAGGGACAACATCACCCAACCTAGCACCCCCCCCCCCCCTTCCCCGTTCCCCTTTCCATAGAGATTATTTTTTTCTCTATTCTAGTACATCTATTTCTTTTCTTGTTTTTACCACTTCCAGTCCAGGACACTTTCACCCCCTTCCTGTCCAGGCCAATTTTCAGCTTTCAGCGCTATCACACTTCAAATGACAGTTGCGCAGTCATGCAACACTGTACCCATATTAATTTTTTAGCAGTTTTTTGAGACAGATAAAACTTTATTTTGGTGGTATTTTTTCACCACTGGGATTTTTTTTTTTTTTGCTATGTAAATGAAAACGTCCAAACATTTTGAAAAAAAGTGTTTTTCTTATAAAAATGTGCAATTGCAATTTATGTTTCTTCATAAATCTTGGCCAAAATTTGTTCAATTATCTTTTTAGTAAAAAAAAAAAAACAAATTAGTTTATAACCAAAAATGATAATTTTTCAACATTTTTTTTTTTTTTTTTTTTTTACATTTTTATTTTTTTTTTACGTTATTATTTGTGTTTTTTTTTTTTTTTTAACATACTGTCACCCTAGCAGTACAGTGTCACCATAATGACACTGTACTACTTTGGGGGGTGATGAAGATTTTTTTTTACATTTTTATTTACATTTTTATTTTTTTCTACTACATTATTATTTGTGTTTTTTTTTTTTAACATACTGTCACCCTAGCAGTACAGTGACACTGCTACTTTGGGGGGTGATGAAGATTTTTTTTTTTTTTTTACACTAATTGCTTTTACACCCATCAAGGCTGTAAAAGCAATCATTTCTCCTTCTCTCTGGCTGCAGCCATTGAGAAATACTGTGTGAGCTGTGATTGGTCACAGCTTGTCACATGGTACAAGGCTGTTGTGAACAGCCTTGTACTATGTGACCTCTGTGATCATTCACAGATTTCACAAGTAGTAAGCAATGATGTGATATCTTGCCCACTACTCTTCATGTGATCACTGATTGGCCAATCAGTGATCACATGATCGGGACCTCACACAGAGGTCCTGTACAACGTTCGGTGTTCCTCCGGACACAGCGGGCACCGGAGCGCGGTGCTGCGCGCTACCAGGGAACGCGCACAAGCAGGGAGCGGGGAGGACGTTTATAAATGGCCACCTGTCCCTGCACTGCTCCCGTCTGGCCGTTTATATACACGGGCGGGTGGTTAAATAGCCGGGCAAAGGGTTTTTCTGTCGGTGATCCCTGTTTGTGAGACTTTTCCTCAGTTCCCATTTTATGGGCGTCTCCCAGATCATGGCGACCACCTGTAAAGGAACCTAGGTGGCATTTGGAACCTTTCCTTGCTGTGTCCAAAAGAAAGTCACTGTGACAGATGGGACTTGTAGAGAGCACGCCCAACAATCCCTGCAACCTGTAGTTCAGCAGCAGCAAGTCCTTACCTCTGTACAGACCTGAGGCTGGAGGTAAACATTGATAGAGCCAGTGCAATGCACTCGTGACACCCTGGAAATGGTTGCAATACTCTGCAGATCTTAGTGCATTAATTGAGGAATTTTACTTTTTTTTTTTTTTCTTCAGTGTTGGTGCATTTACTAAAATTTAGTAAGAGGTGGACTATTCCTTTTAGATGTAGAGGACGAGGATTAAAAGTGACATCTGTGCCAGAAACTAATTTACTGTGTTTTGAATCATGAGAGGGGGTGGTAACACTGAGCAGATACGTCCCAGAAAGAGTGGAGAGGTGACCACCATGGAGGAACTTTAGACACGGGTGGTAATGTCACCCTAAGTCCAGGCTAGCTTTATTTTTTGGGAAATACTCTACAACTAAGGATTTTACAGTTAGCTGGTGGCACAACAGCTTTTTCCAACCATTGTCTTATCATGTGATGTCCTGTTTAACCAATGCTGATGGTCTATTCTAGGGTCTCGGGGCTCAGGAGCAGGGATCCACAGAACACGTCAAAGTTCAAGTGAAGAACAACACTCTCGGCCTTGGAGCTTCCAACAACTACGAGGTACTGCAGAAGACCATACAAGACCATTATTGGTGTCCTACAGCAGTGTCAACTGGGGAGGTATAGAGGGCCTCAGCTGGGGATCCTGATAGCTCCGAAGGGCCACACATATTCATTATATAAAAGAAGACTGTCAGAGACATCAGGCATATTAGAAGAGACGGCCAGAAGCTGCAGACATGATGCAGGAGATGGCTAGAGGCTGATGATGCAGGGGTGGTAGGAGACAGAAGATGTGCTGAACATGACTGACTACATGGGACATCTCAGGTTGCCTTCAAATGCATGCTTCTGCTAGTAACTGCTGAGTCTGTAAAGGGGCGGATAGCAAGTGCCAAATGGCTGCATGAGGCTGATGGAGACCAGGGCATTAGGGCACGCCATCCAGATTCTTTTGATGGTCACCCAGCAAGGATCCTATTACGCTAGGTTCACATCTGTGCCAGTGGTGCTGCTGCAGATCCACACGAAAATTCGCATAGCCACACCACCCGCACAGAGAAATGCGGACCTGCAGGCGGGTGCCATTCTAATTGCACACCTCCCGCACTGGAAAACGCAACCATACTGAGAACCGAGGTTCCCGTGCGGGCTGCGTTTTCCAAAGAAGTGCAGGGACTTCTTCCCTGTGTGTCACGGGCATTGGAGTCCATTCAAATGAATGGGCTCTTGTGCCCGTGCAAAACGCGGCCTGCATGGCTGCATATATGTGAACCTGGGCTAAGGGAGAACATGGTAGAGCCTTCTCCCAATCCTCTTTGGTGGCTCCTCTGTGAATCTAGCTTGGCTGCAGGAATCCAGAACATCTCTTGGCTGAGAGAACCTGGAAGCCCTCATATTATTTCTGGGTTCCAAGCTTTAAAAATCCTGATGGCACCAATCATATTCTGTGTCCCTTATACATGCTGGTTGGAGGAGGAGGCATCATGACCTACTAAACTCCTGATGCCTCCATAAAGAGCACCTGTCACTCCATGTTTACCATAGCATGGGTAAGCATGGTGTGTTTTTTTTTTTTTTTTTTTTTTGATGCAGCAATAAAATACTAGTTTGCTGCACATTAGCTATGTGTAATGATATGTATCTCATCTCCTGCAAGACGTTGCTTCTTGTAAAAATCCTCCCTTCATGCTGCCTGATATTGCCCTGAACAGGTTCTGTATCAGTTACCAGCAGTCGCTGCTAGTATGAAGAGTTGCGTCACTCGCTCATTCCTTTGTCCTCCCCACCATTCACAGACCTTGTACTACTAATCTGCTGTAACGCATTGTGTACTGCAGTGGGAGGGGGAGATCCTGTCACTCATCTGCTTCTGTATTCCTTCTTTGTGTATTTTAGCTGGGGTGTTTTTTTTTTTTTTTTTTTTTTTTTAACTGTGCTGCTTGTTGCACTTTTGATCTGCTTTTATCAAGACAGGATGCATGTCATAAAGAGGGCAATGGTCACATGACTAAAATGCCTCTCAAACCCAATACACCTAAAATGCACTGCATAGATATGAATGAGCCCGAAGAGGTTATTCACGTATGCAGTTGAGAGATGGGGGGCTAAAACTAGGCAGTTGAGTACCAGTTTTGCCAATGTTCTGCTGGAAACTTGTCTTCTCTGATCCTTCCCTTCTTATTCTATCCCCAATCCATTGGCTGATAGAACAGAGTCTTGGGGACCAGCTGTTCGAGCTCAGTTTAGTGTGTATTGCTAGAAAGGTATTTTTTTTTTTTTCTTGGGAGGATGCATGTGATCTGCTCAAGGCCAATCAGCACTGTCCAGACAGAGGGTCAGGGGTCTTGCAGCCTAATAGGACAATAAGGGGAGAATGTAAACTCCTCTTACAAACTTTAACCAGTGCTCTGCTGGACAGTGATAGAAGTCACAAGACATATATAACTGCTGATGGGAAAAGATATTTACTAAAATTGCATTTCCATGTTCTGTCAGGGATGTCCTATTCCTATCGCCCGACGCCTGGGATATGTAGTTCTGGGCGTTGGGTAGGTTTGTTTGTTGTTTTTTTTGCCCAGGCAGCGCTGCCGCCCGATTGCTTCTACACAGCCCACAGTGTCCGCCTTTCCCCTCGCTATACATCCCGGGCTCCGCTTGCCCATCTGTGGGCCCGAGACTGGTTCGGCGGGTGTCGGGATGTGGTATAGGGGAGGGAGGAGAAGAGCGGACATACGCTACCCTCTCTTTCTTGTGATGTGACGTCACTTCCGGGTCCCCGTTCGACAGATTCCCAGTCAATGAGGCCGGGAGAGATTGTAATGCGGTGCGATGTGAAGATTTACCCCCCCCCCCTCTTCCTGACCAGGCCATTTTTTACGATAAGGCGCAAAGCTCCTTTAACTGACAATTGCGCAGTCATGCAACACTGCACCCAAATTAATTTTATGTCCTTTTTTCTCACAAATGGAGCTTTCTTTCGGTGGTATTTGATTGCTTCTGCTGTCTTTTTTACTTTGCACTATAAAAAAAAAAAAAAACAACAAATTTTGGAAAAAATTATATTTTTTTTACTTTTGGTTCTAAAAAAAAAAAATCAAATAAACCTCAGTTATAAGTTTACAAAATGTATTCTGCTACATGTCTTTGGTAATAAAAAAAATCTCAATATGTGTGTCAATTGGTTTGTGTAAAAGTTAGTGTCTTCAAACTATGGTATATATTGGAATTTACGTAGCTTTTACTTTCTGACCACCTATCCCATTTCTTGAGGTGCTAAAATGCCAGGGTAGTACAACCACCCAAATGACCCCCCCTTTTTTGGAAAGTAGACACCCCTAGGATTTTGCAGAGAGGCATGTTGAGTCCATGGAACATTTTATTTTGTTGCCACAAATTTATTTTTTTTAAATCTTTGTTTAAAAAAAAAAAAAAAAAAAAGTCACTTTTAATGATATATTGCTCATGCATGCCATGGGTATATGTGGAATAACACGCCAAAACATATTCCTCTACTTCTCCTGAGTATGGGGATACTTAATAAAGGCCCCCAGAATCCAATGACCACATCCAGGCTTTTAAAGTACATATTTCCTCATATCACTTCCCCACTATCTATCACAGTTTTGGAGGCCCTAAAATGCCAGGATAGTACACACCCCCACCCCCCTCCAGATGACCCCTTTTTGGAAAGTAGACACTCCAAGGAATTTGTTAAGAGGCACGGTGAGTATTTTACAGATATTCTTTAGTCACAGGGTTTTGCAAAAGGAAAAAAAAAGAGAACATTTTTGTTTTCTTTCTTTTTTCCTAAAATTTGTGGCAACAAATGAGACCTGCAAAATACACACCATGCCTCTTAGCAAATACCTAGAAGTGTCTACTTTCCAAAAAGGGGTCATTTGGAGGGGTTGCTTTTACTATCCTGGCATTTCAGGGCCAATATTAGAAGCTTGTGCCACACATCACCCACTCTAGAAGACCAAGCCTTTTCTGACACTTTTTGTTCACCTGAAAGAACTTTCAAAAATGTTTTTGCTAGAAAATTACTTTGAACCCCCAAATTAAAAAAAAAAAAAAAAAAAAAAAAAAATATATATATATTTTTTTTTTTAAGCAGGGGCCCTAGAGAATAAAATGGTGGGTGTTGAAATTTTTTACGTCACACATTATTTGCACAGCGATTTTTGTGTGTTTTTTTATTTTTTTCCAAATGGGAAAAATACACTTTTTGGAATTTTAACAATATATATTGCCCAATTGTTTGATAAATTATAAAATATGTTATGCCGAATAAATAGATACCACACATGACATGCTTTAAAATTGTGCATGTCTGTGCAATGGCAACAAAGTACATACAATGAAGGAAATAAGTATTTGATCCCCTGCTGATTTTGAATGTTTGCCCACTCACTAAGAAATGATCAGTCTAAAAATCGAGTGTTCGGTGCATTCAAAAGAAATGCATGTCTAACAAATGATGCACTGATTTGCATGTTCATGAGGGAAATAAGTATTTCATCCCCTTCACAAAACATGACTTAGTACTTGGTGGCAAATCCCTTGTTGGCAATCACAGAGGTCAGACGTTTCCTGGAGTTGGCCCCAGGTTTGCACACATCTCAGGAGGGATTTTGGACCACTCCTCTTGGCAGATCCTCTCCAAGTCATTAAGGTTTGGTGGCTGACGTTTGGCAACTCAAACTTTCAGCTCCCTTCACATATTTTCAATCGGATTAAGGTCTGGAGACTGGCTAGGCCACTCCAGGACCTTAATGTGCTTCTTCTTGAGCCACTCCTTTGTTGCCTTGGCCGTGTGTTTTGGGTCATTGTCATGCTGGAACACCCATCCACGACCCATTTTCAATGCCCTGGCTGAGGGAAGAAAGTTCTCACCCAAGATTTGACGCTACATTGCCCCGTCCATCGTCCCTTTGATGCGGTGTAGTTGTCCTGTCCCCTTAGCAGAAAAACACCCCCAAAGCAGAATGTTTCCACCACCATGTATGACAGTTGGGATGGTGTTCCTGGGGTCACAGGCAGCATTCCTCCTCCTCCAAACACTGCGAGTTGAGTTGATGCCAAAGAGCTCGATTTTGGTCTCATCTGACCTCAACACTTTCAACCAGTCCTCCTCCACATCATTCAGATGTTCAGTGGCAAACTTCAGACGGGTCTGGACATGTGCTTTCTTCAGCAGAGGGACCTTGCGGGCACTGCAGGATTTCAGTCCTTGTCGGCGTAGCGTGTTACCAATTGTTTTCTTGGTGACTGTGGTCCCAGCTGCCTGGAGATCATTGACAAGATCCTCAGGTGTAGTTCTGGGATGATTCCTCACTGTTCTCATGATCATTGACACTCCATGAGGTGAGATCTTGCATGGTGCACCAGACCTAGGGAGACTGACAGTTGTTTTGTTTTTTTTTTCCATTTGCGAATGATTGCACCAACTGTTGTCACCTTCTCACCAAGCTACTTGGCGATAGTTTGGTAGCCCAGTCCTGCCTTCTGTAGATCTACAATCTTGTCCCTGACATCCGTGGACAGCTCTTTGGTCTTTGCCATGGTGGAGAGTTTGGAATCTGATTGTATGATTGCTCCTGTGGACAGGTGTCCTTTATACA